GCCAGTAAGAAGTGGGTGCCCATCAAGCCTGGACAGCAGGGCTTCAGCCGCATCAACATCTACCACAACACTGCCAACAACACCTTCAGAGTGGTGGGCGTCAAACTGCAGGACCAGCAGGTGAGAGAAGGAGGAAGTGGTTGTGTACCTCGTGATGTGTGGATGTTTCTGTCGGTGTCAAGAGTCGTTAACTCAGGATGTACAAACCTCATGTATTATTTGCTGCGTCACGTTTCCCCCAGACGGCGTTACCTGTAGCCCCGTTTAGACGTGCATTCTTTTTCATTAATGTGACAGCATCTGGATGTCTGAATGAGCACCGTGGTCGCTGTTATTTTCATAAAAGTCGTGACTATATGACATTTACGTGTCACTTTCAACAAAGTCTGAACATTAACAGCTCAAGATTACAACACACTGACCTAAGACGTTGTTAAGTATAGTGGACGAACACACAGTCATATGTTACTTTGTTTTTGTTTTTGTTTTGTTTTTTTCATTTATTTTTTGTTGGGTTCATTTTTAGGAACAGAAACATATTAGGACAACAACAATAACACTCGGCGAAGGGAGGATCCATCTCATGACAAAACTCATGTATACAAACGTATAAGTTCATATAAAATAACAACAATAATAAATAATAATAGTACAAATTCTTGGTCAGATCTAAAAGTATATATATATACTTTTAAACATTGCTAGTGTTCTATGAAATCAGGCCTAAAAGTCGACACATCTTGACCAATTTTCCTCAAATATGTGAAATTGATTTCTTAATTTAAATGTTTTTCTTTCCATTGTGTATATATTGAAAACCAGATCAATCCACTCGTTTATGGTTGGTGTATATGTCACTTTGTTTTAAGAAAGTTCTGGTGTCCCATCCAGTCTTATGGAGAATCTTGTGGGTGTAACGTCTGTCTTTATTACTATAGTGGGTATTTCTGACTGAAGCCATGACGAGCATTTTACTGACTCTGACTTCGTTTGTGAAAATATTTAGGGCCCCAAACTTTTCAAAGTCTTGTGCTTTTATGAAAAAGGTTTCCAGTGAAGTCTCACAGCTTTTCTCTCAACAACAAAACCAGAAAGAAAAATAGATTGGAGACGTCAAGTAGAAGAAATGCATTCAACTAAATCAAATGTCGTCCTTCTACTTGTATTTCCAAATGCAGACTTCATCAATTACATCATTCATCTACATCTGAAGGACAGAATTCACACTTTAGCAGGTCGATAAAGCAGCGACGTTACCCACAAAAAGGTGGGATGTACGATAACTATGGGTAGAGAACAAGTGACCGTTTGTCCAGTAAATAGAAAGAATATTTTTTCATGCACTTTCGGTTGTGGAGGAGCAACAGCTGGTGTCTCTTCTGCTCTCGTGGTGGATTCAGTCTTGTATGATGGCGGCTAAATCTTGATGTGACTCAAGTTTACTCACGAGTAGATCCACAGAACCAACATTTGTCAGAAACAAAATCACTTCTGGAGCTTTTCAAGGTCTATTTTTACTGTTGTAGTGAAGCGATATAATCCACCGTCACTCTTTCTCCATCGTAAGTTATGATATTCACACTTCTTTGAACAACACAGGTTTAGGATGTAGGTGGCGTATCTATTATCTGCTGAGTCACATTCGTCTATGTAGGTGACCAGCCAATTAACTCCAGTTTTAATCGTCTGTGTCTCTCCTCCATTACAGGTGGTGATAAACTACTCCATAGTGAAGGGCCTGAAGTACAACCAGGCCACCCCGACCTTCCACCAGTGGCGCGACGCCCGGCAGGTCTATGGGCTGAACTTTGCCAGTAAGGAGGAGGCCACCACCTTCTCCAACGCCATGCTGTTCGCCCTCAACGTCCTCAGCTCCCCCGACAGCGGAGGTAAGGCTCTGTGACATATACAATATTACTGTTGCTTTAATTTCCTTCAGGATTCGCTCGATTAGCTCTTTATTATCAGCATTTTCCACTCAGCGCAGACGTCCTGCTTTGTATTCGACTCCCTGGAAGGCCGGTGTTATTTTAAGACATTTTCTGAATGTTTGAATCAAATCAAATGGCTCGTCTCCACAGAGGAACTGGAGATGAAAGTTTTTGGATTTGTTAGCTGGCGCCCGATACCTGCTCGTGTTTTTCAGTGGAACTTTCAGGTCCGATTACAGTCGGCTGTCTGCTGTTGTCATCTGTGATTAATTTAAAGCTGTTTTTTTTGTCTGAAAAAGAACGGCAGGTAACGAAACGAGCCACGTAGTTTGGAGTTTGTGACGACTACCTGGACTTTAATGGATGCTTTGATGTTAAAAACGTTGTGCACAG